ATTGTGCCATTTTAATTTTTGTTAAAATACAATATAAAATACTGTAGATGACCTGAGGAAGATGGAGGAAATTATCTAAAATTTTAATTCTTTCATTTGTGAATTATATGCATATGTGTATATGTTTTACATAATTTTTATATAGAATACATAAATTACATATGCTGATTTTTAAACTTAACACATCACAAACATTTTGGTATAAAAAAGACGGCAAGTGTGTAATTTTGGAAGCAAACTGTTCCCATTCCAATGTTACTTGCTTGGTTAGCTCAGACGATTGGACCACGGGACAACTGATAAAGGCTATAGTTTCCACTTCTAGGTAGGTCAGTTAGTTTTACTGTTTCATCTTGACATGAAAGGGATAAACGACTTAGGAAGAAAATGTGGATGTATTACTGTGAATTCATCCCTTTTGCTGTAAAATCCACCCATAGCACAAGTTCTAGGTTTATGCCAATCTCTAAGTCATTAGTGAGGGAAAAAATAAAAAAGAAAGAAAAATCCTGACCCTCAAAATACAAAAATGTAATGCTATATAGCTTTCATTTCTATGATGTAACATAAGGACCAGCCTTTTCTTTGTATAGTTACAGTTGAGGAGCTCCAGCTGATCACCTGCCTGAAATTATTGCAAGCCTGGTGAGAACATTTGGGGAGGCATAGTCATGTTTTCACTTCACTAGGAAATCATTTAGCAAATTGCTGCTGTTCTGTAAATTACTGTGCTGCATAACTTTCATAGTGAGAACCTATTTCCTTTATCCATAAAAATTGCAGATAAAAGGCTTACAAAATAAATAACCTGTATTTAAAAGAAACCAATTCCTAGAATTTAGAGAACATGATATACTGTTTCTCAGGTGGGAACAAAAACAAATACATTTTTATTACTAATATTTAAAAATGATACATTCTCTATTAAAATCAGATTTTCACTTATTTTATTTACTTTGTTACTCTCTGAGATAAATGCATAAAGACCTCCGAGGGTAAAATAATAAGCTAAGTACCTATTTTTTTAAAACGATATAGCTAATTCTGGAAATCAGAGTACTTTAAGCCTAAATTTTATAACTTGAAGAGAATCCCACAATTAGTAATCAACCTAATTGAACACAGTATTGAGGGCAGTTTCCATTGTGCCAACTCTTATTCAGATGTCAGTCTGAAGGGAAGTAACTCAGCAATTTTAATTTTGTGGTAAGGCGACAGACTCCAGTATAATCTAGGGAAATAATGGCCGTATCCCCACAACCTTTCTAAGAGGATCGCACTCCAAATACAGTGATCAATGCTGCTGCAGCGGAAAGCATACAAAAGGACAAATTCCTCTGGTTTTTTCCAGGAAAACTTGGATAGTGGAACACAGGCCTGACTCATTTCATTTCAGTGACAATTAAGATAGAAAAGCAGAAGCAGAGAGACAGCTTTTCCTCAGACAATGAGGTCCCATTTCAGAGCTGCTTTCTCTTTCTTTCTCTCTCTCTCTCTCTTTCTCTCTCTCTTACACACACACACACACACACACACACACACACACACGCGCGCGCGCGCGCGCAGGTGGGGCTTGGAAACAAAAGTGAAATAGGTACTCGTAAATACTAATGAATATTAAGCAGATTTCCCCAAATTTAAGGTTGTCATGACTAATAAAGAAAAAAATGCTTCATGGTAGCTAAAATTTTAAACTAACAGTTACAATAGATGCATATTAAAATTACATTTCCTTATACCTAGAACTAGCTATAACATCAGTAGATTTAAATATCTGATCATTGAATCCATAGTTAAATAAAATTGTGTCAAATCTGGGGAAGATTCACAAAATGGCATATATGTGGTTTCATTCTTGCAAATAAACACTTTGAGGGAAAGGTTAAAAGGACTGTTATGATTCATTTTGAAGATGAGCAGAGTTAAGAAATAATTTTTCCAGCCTTTCTCAACTTGTGTTCCTCATCTAAACCACAGAATACAGAAAATAACTTAAGTCACTCTTTTTCTAATTCTTCCATATGTGGTACGTAACTAGTACTATTCTAGATACATTGAGGAGAAGTTAATATATTACATATAAGAATGCTTTAAGGCAACAGGACTCAATTCTCTCTTGTAACAAAGGTTGATAACAAGTGGATACACAGTGGACCATAAACTAATGTTGGCAATTTATCTGGAGCCTAGAAAATGCATTTAAAAAGCAGATGTGTAGACAAGATAAAGGGTGGATTTCCTAAATATAAATTACTTAGCATTATAAGAGTCTACTGAGTAACATTATACAATTTCCTTCTCCCAAAGACTCTGAAGTCAGGCTTTGGATTCTTCTGACTAGAATAGGATGAAGTGCATAGCATCTGGAGGCAGAGGTCTTTTCCCACCTGCAAAGAATGTGCTTGGTTCTTCCAGTCTTAGCTATCCGAATGTCCAAGTAGAGGAAGCCCTGAGGATGGAAGGGGAAAGAACAAAACATGCTGATATACCTAAGAAGTGGTGGACTAAGATCTATCTCTTCTCTGAGGAACCCATCTAATATCGCAGAGAAGTACATATTTACTGGTGTCAGGGAGAGGAAAGAAAGAAACTTCACAGTAACAAACAGAATGCTGATGCTAAAGAATTTTTGAGCAAAGTAAAATTTTATAAGGCTACTTAGGCTCTTTAGAAATATCTTTTGTTACAATTCTAATATTAATATTTTCTTAAAAAAGTGCCAGATGAATCTAGAATACTGCTTTGATGACACAATTACCAACATGAACAGAAATGATTGTTATTCAGAACTACAAAAAGATATAGAAGACAAACTAAATAAAGCAGCCTCAATGGAAATGGTGGTAGTTTACTATCTAAAAGCAACCTGGTTTCTATGTCTATTTTTTTGATAAACGCAAACAGGAAAATTCTGAATACTCTGTCTTTTTTTACTACTATATTCTTTTTTCAAAAAATACAGTTTACTTTCAATATTATTTTGTACTAGTTTCAGATGTACAGCTTAGTAGTTAGACAATCATATACTTTACAAAGTGTTTCCCCGATACTTCCAGTACCTAACTGGCACCATACATAGTTACTACAATATCATTGACTATATTTCCTAGGCTACACTTTACATCCTCATGACTACTTTTTATGAGTTAAATTCCAAGTAATTAAAGTCCCACTATACGTTGCTGCCCATAGTGAACTTTTATTCATTAATCTGCATTATTATGATTCTATCATAGAATTGTTCACAAAGATTACTATTAGTGTGGAATGTACATTTAAACTACAAGTGCCTTCTTCTAATGTTACTTTTTAATTATTTTTTAATTTTTATTGTATTTTTTTCATTACTATTTATCCCCCTTATACCCTCTCCCTTGCAATGATCACATTGACATTCATGTCCATGAGTCCTTTTTCATTTTTGCTCAATCCCTCCACCTCTTAACCTCCTTCTTCCATAGCTGCCATCTTGCTCTCTATCTATGAGTCTGTCTCTATTTTGCTTGTTAATTGAATTTGTTCATTAGATTCCATGTATGAGTGAAGTCATATGGTATTTGTCTTTCTCTGACTGGCTTATTTCACTTAGGTTAATGTTCTCTAAGTCTACCCATGCTGTAGCAAAGGGTAAAATTTTTCTTCTTTTTTATGGCCAAGTAGTATTCCATTGTGTAAATGTTCCATTGTTGTTTTGTCCATTCATCTACGGATGGACACTTGAGCTGTTTCCATATCTTGGTGATTGTAAAAACTGCTTCAATGAACATAGGGTTGCTTGTGTTCTTTCAAATTAGTATTTTGGGTTTCTTCGACTATACTCCCAGAAGTAGCATCATGGGGTCAAAAGGCAAATCTATTTTTAATTTTTTGAGGTATCTCCATGCTTTCCACAGTGGCTCCACCAGTCTGCATTCCCACCAACAGTGCAAATGGGTTCCCTTTTCTCCACATCCTCACCAGCACTTGTTTCTTGATTTATTGATGATAGACATTCTGACAGGTGTGAGGAGATATCTCATTGCGGTTTTAATTTGCATTTCACTGATGATTAGTGATGTTGAGCATCTTCTCATATGTCTATTGGCCATCTGTATGTCCTCTTTGGAGAAGTGTCTATTCAGGTCCTTTACAAATATTTTTTTAGAGAGCTCAGAAATAAACCTACACCTTTATATTTAATTGATATTCAACAGAAGAAGCAAGCACATGCAATGGGTTAAAGATAGTTTATTCAATAAGTGGCTATGAGAAAACTGGACAGATACATGCAGAAAAGTGAAACTAGACTGCTTTCTTGTACCACACACAAGAATAAATTCAAAATGGATTAAAGACTTAAATATTAGACCTAAAACCATAAAAACCCTAGAAGAAACCATAGGCAGTAAAATCTCAGACATTGCTCATAGCAATATTTTATCTAATATATCTCTCCAGACAAGGGAAACAAAAGAAAAAATAAACAAGTAGGGCTACATCAAACTAAAAACTTTTTGCACAGCAAAGGAGACTGTCAACAAATTAAAAAGACAACCCACAGAATGGGAGAACATATTCACCAATACATCCGATAAGGGGTTAATATCCAGAATTTATAAAGAACTTACAAAACTCAACATCTAATGTTTCTTTAAGGAGTATTTGGACAAGGCATCCATCACACTGTGGGTACAATCTGCTTTCTTTGGCAACTTATCATCAATGTAAAATGAGAGTCCATATTGATCTTTGCTTATGCAAGCAGTTCACATGAATATCATGAAACTGCAAGCAAGCAACAAAGGGCAAACTTTGTCTTGTACGAAAACAGTGGCTTGAATATTTGAGTGTAAATACTTCTTTTATAATAAACAAATATACAAATATATCATTTACTTAACAGACGTTTCTATTGTAATGAAGTCAAGATTGGAACCATTAAAATAGATCAAAGATTAATGTGTACATGAATAAAACTTTGCTTTGCTTTGCCTAACTGCTGCCCTCTTTTTCATTTACAGCTATTCAAGAGCAAGAAAATGAATCTGTGTCTCTATCCTTAAGCACAGACATCTCCTTAAATAAGTCACAGCTAGATGACTGCCCAAGGGACTCTGGTTGCTATATCTCATCAGAAAATTCAGATAATGGTAAAGAAGATCTGGAGTCTGAAAATCTGTCTGACATGGTGCAGAAGATTGCTATCACAGAAACAAGTGACTGAACACACATTGTAAACTCTGTATCTATAACTGCATTCCATTTTAACTCTTCTTCAGCTAAAGGATCACATAAGAAATAAAGAGAAGTATTTGAAAATACAATCTAAAGTTAAAATGTTTTAATATGAATGATTTGTACATAAAAGTTCGTATCTCTAAAATTCCCAATTATTGTAAATAATATGTATATTTATTATTTTAAATGCCACATGTTAGTATGTTACATGCATGTATTAGAAAAGGTTTATTATAAATCTTTGGTATGTGTGATATAAATTTTATTTTGCTTTATTTTTTAAGTGCAAAATAATAAATTCTGCAACAACTCCCTCCTTTCTTCATACATGCCAGTTTTGAATAATCAAATGAATAACAGTGGAGCCTGTGCTTGTTTAATCAATTGTCTAAGCAGCATTTACCTTCATTTTTATACTTACTGGAAAAGTGTGAGTTAATATTGGAGACATTTTTATCCTAATTCACAGTGGAGGTTTAGTAATTTTTTGTTGATTGCTTCACCATTACCTGTATAAAAGTATAGTCAATATATTGCCAGTTCTGATTTAGTAAAACTAATTGTATTAATTGTACAGTTGTTTCACCTTTAAGTGTAAATAATTTTAATTTTGAAATGTCCTAATTTTAAAAATAAAAAGAACTACGTTCATTTGGTATTTTCCAGACCAGTGTTACTATTTTCATATTAGATATTTAAACAAAATATCTCCTACCAGACAAGGTTTTGTAGTCAGTTCTCTCTCTCTCTCTCTCTCTCTCCATATATATATATATATATATATATATATATATATATATACACACACACACACACACACACACACACACACGTGCATAATTTCCAAATAAATTATCTCACCTCAGTTTGTTTCCTGAGCCTCCAGATCTGTGTTATCTAACTTGCTGAATACTTCTATATATTAGTTAACTTAAGTTTCCATAACAAAATACCATAAACTGGGTGGTTTAAACAACAGAAATTTATTTTCTCACAGTTCTAGAAGCTAGAAGTCCAAGATCAGGTTGCCAGCATGGTTGGGTTCTGGTGAGGGCTCTTTTCCTGGCTTGCAGAGGGCCACCTTCATACTGTGCCCTCACATGGCAGAGAGACGCAGCTTGTGAAGATCCACAAGTTGAGTGAGCAGGGGGGTCTCAAGGAATCACCAGGAAAACAGTGATACCTAGGTTGTTGGACACTCAGATATGGTACCTGCCTGCTGGTTCTGTGGGAGGAGGGTTCATCAAAGGAACAATGGCCTCTGTCAATTCTTCTGTCTGGGAGAAAGCTGCTTCCCCAAGCCTCGCCTTGATTCCAGACACTTCAGTTCCCATGTGCTTGGTGCCTTTCAAGCTCTTGTCCCATTGCTGGAGCTCAGAGTGAGTGAGTCAAAGTCCATGTGTGGTTCCTTTCAAAGGACTGCCTAGTACTACAGAAGTCCTCTATGTCACTCAGCCTCAATCCTTGCTGGTTTTTACAACCAAAAGTCTTCGGGGGTTCTTTCCTTGGTAATGGAATCCTGGGCTTGGGAGCCTGCTGTGGGGCTGGGACCCCTAGCTCCTCAGAGGCAACCTCCACAGCCAAGATGTCCCTCCTGACTTTTATTACCACATGTGCGTGTGGACCAGTTTGTTCTGCATCTCTGCCTCTTCTACCAGTCTCAGTGTGGTTTCTCCTTTAATCCCTAGTTGTGGGACTTGTATTCAGTGAGATTTTAGGTAGTTCTGAATGACGGTTGTTTTGTAGTTTAGTTGCAGTTTTGATGTGGTTGTGGGAGGAGGCAAGTACTGCATTTACCTATGCCACCATCTTGATTGGAATTCCTCTACCTCTCTTTAATAGTACTTATGCTTAGCCAGTTATCCAAAGCAGAAAATCACTTCCTACTTTGTTTCACATATATCTTCTTCATACAGATTCAATAAGTAATGAAGCCCTATGCATCTTACCTCTAGAAGTCCTTTCATATTTATGGCTTTCTATCCATTCCTATGACAGCTCTCTTGCTTTGTAACCTCATGATTCCGTGTGTGAAACTTTCCAACCTCTGTCCTACAAGTGCCCTTCTTCTTAATCTGTCACCCACAGAGCCTACAGAATGACCTGTCCAACATGCCAATCAAACCATGTATTACTCAGCTTAAAATTTTTTGATAGCTTCTCCTTGTGTTTAGTATAATATTTAAATTTTCTTCCAGGATACATAAGGTACTTCCCAACCATTTTTTTTTACCTACATCTATAAGTCATATGTTTTTTCTCATACCTCCCACTTTACACTCTCCAGCCCTAACAACGTACTTGTAATTCCCTGAATTCACTATTCCTTTTGTGAATTTTCTTACATTATTTATTTTTCTGGAATGGCTTCTGTTATTTTCTACATCCACAAGTCTTCCACTGTTTTCTTTCTTAAGGCTCACAGAAGCCACTTATTCTGTAAAGCCTTTCTGGGATTTCCTTTGGTGCTCTCCTCTTTGTGTTTCCCGAGCAACCTGTATCTCTATTGATTATAGCACTTATACATTATATTTTATCTACTGCATGATGCCCTTCCATGAGACTGTGACTTTAATTGTGGCAGAAATTTTACTTAGTTTCCTTAATCTCTGATGTCTGGTACATTAGGTACAGAGTGAACATTTAGTAAATATTTGCTGGAGTACCTTGAACATAACAATGACTCCCACATAACACATTCCATATTTATATTTAAACCAACCTACTCAACCTACAGGTAAATACTCTCCAAAGTGACATTAAAGTTTTTATTTTTAATAAATAAAATATAAGACCTTAGGACAAACCAGGAAACACAAAGTGTTATTCAAATGCTGGGGAACTTTACTCTTCTAGATCCATGAGTTTTAATCCCATATGCGGAGCCCAGGTCAGGAGTAAAGCATATGACTACTTCCCTCTCCACAGCAGGAAAGAGTGTTTCAATTTTAAACTTCCAACATGCCACCTCCATCGTGGCCCCATTCTTGCTATGGCTACCACTCCAAATTGATTATTCTAGGGACTTGTTGGGCACATCATGGCCACTAACCACAATTTTTAAATTTTACTCGATCTGCTGCCTCAGGGAGGTCAAGAAAATACAATTCCTTTAAGTAGATGCCAGGAAATTTTATGTTTTAAAGAACTGCTTGATTATAAAGTGGTGGAAATCTCCTTTGGTGATACTCCACCACAGTTTCAATCCCTTCCAAATAATGATGTGATATGCGACCAAGGATCCAGAGAAAAGCTTTTGAGCAGAAGTGCTACAATGGCCTTGAGGAGATGGAAGCAGAAGAAGAGAGACTGGATTCCTGAAAAAACGAGTTGAGGGAGGAAAATGGAGATACCACAAGGTTCAAGTTGGTGCAGAGATGCCTGTATCACAGAGCACAGCACTGAAGCAGACACCTGTCTAGCGGAAGTACACCAGATTAAGCGAGTGCTGCTGCCTTCACTGCACCAACTGGTCCCCTGCAGGTCTAGCCTCACCTTTTTTAGATTTTTCTCTTGACCATGGAAAGTTGGATAAAGAGGAGTGGGACGGTACAGACTAGTTTAGCCAAGGTTGTAAAGTAGTTGAGGAACTTAGATCTTCTACTGCATGTAGTTGAGTAGGGCATGAGTCTGAGCCTTTTCAGAGTGAATGTGAAAGTGGCCAAAGAGTTGACATTTTAATGTTCACAGATGCTTACACTGGCTTTGTATGTCTAGGTTGAAACTTGGTGAGAGTCCTAATCTCATTCATTTATTATTCACTCAATAATATTTAGACATAGAACATATATGCTGCCCAAAATTATGCCAATAAGGCCCTTTGGATCAGATAATCTACAATAGAATTTTCCTGTAGCCTCTCCATTGAAATCAGCTGAAACATTCAGTAGAATGTTGTAAAATTATTCTGGGATGCAATGATTATTCCGATCCCAGAAATATATTTATAAATTCAGGTGTGCTGTGATGGTATGCATGGTTATAGAAATTTTATTTCAGGTAAATAGATAAAATATTCATAATACATTTTAATAAGAGCAAAAATCAGATCATTTAAATTTTGGCCATTCTATTACCAATATAAAAACAAATACACCCTCACCCTGAAGTTTTTATCAGAAATTGTTTTTAACCAATTAAATTGCCAAAAGAATTAGTGAAGAAAGAAAACATTTTTAAAACTTCAAAAATGATAGGCAGCTAAAGATTGTCATGTTTTTGGAGAACATTCAATTCACTGAGGTTACAGTCAAGCGCTTTGCAACTTCCTGAGTGAGGCTAAATTGATGACATTTCATGTTGAGAAACTTCCGTTACAAGCATAAGTTCTGAGAAAAATAATATGAAGAAATTTTAGATACTCTATCATCCCACACATGCACGCACTTCCATCCCCCACCACAGGCAAAGAAAATTGTATAACTAATCAGCATGCAGACTGCAAGTACTCCTTCATAAAGTGGGAAGTCATGCTAAAATTATGTAAAAGTTGAGAGCAAAAAGAATAGGTACTAAATATAGGCAAAAGAAGAACAGTTTGTAAATTTGTCCAGTTTTTTGGGCTATGAAAATAAGATTGAAGTAACCCTCACTTTATGCTACCTCCTGTCTTATGACTGAATTCATCTGATCACAGCCAGTTTTGAGCTATACACATAGATCTGAGGTCCTGGTTTGAGGACTGTGTGACTTTGGGCAGGTCACTTATGCTCTGAGCTTATTTTTTCCCCTCTACAAAATGTAAATAATTGTACTAGTAATATTTCATGTTACTATACTGATTAAATTGGATAATGTATATAAAGAACCCAGCACAATGCATGTAGTTTTTGCATAAAATCTGATATCTGAACATAAAGTGGAAGCAGCACACATGCTACCACAACACAGGCATGGGCTTGGAGTAATTTCAAATTTTTTCAGACACAAAATTTCTGAGGGCTTGTATAACTATACTTTTCCAGCACTTACAAGAGAGAATTAGCTGATTTAATAGAACTTTGCAGATAATTGGCCATTTTGTCATAATATAGTATTTGTTTACTCTTAACAGTGTAGGGAGAAGCTATGTTATATTTAGTTTTAATTCCTTACCCTTGGCACGGGATAGGAATAATAATTTTGAAGTCTGAATGACTGAATAAATAAATAAATAAATGCCTATACTAATTGAATGAATGAATGAATGAATGAATGAATGAACGAATAAAAAAATTAAATAATAAAAGACTTGGGGTTATTACTGCTACTACTACACCTTGGGCCCTGGTCTTTACCATATGGACTCAGAGCTGATAGTGTTATTGCCAACAGAGAAACCCTTGGGGAGGCACCCTAAATGTAGATATTTACAAATTTATGAACCTTATGAGGATTTAGGCAAATGATCTGCCATGGGAAATCAAAGTTCAGAGAGCGGTCAGCAGGAAAATGTGAGCTTTTCATTACTTCCCCTTTTCTACATCACC